AATTATTAGAGGCAGGTGATGAAGAAAAATAGCTGGAACCAGCAAGTGGTACCAACAAGTGAGAACTCGTCCGGTCACGCCCTTTCTTCGACTTATGCACGAGCAAGCGCGGTTCAGCAGGGGATTCTATACTAAGCACTTCAAGCAAGATTTTTCAGTTTTTCCTTCACTTTTGTGTTGCTTACCATCTTGCCATCAGTATTTGAGCAGCACAACCCACTATTTTTGAACGCGGGGCGTGCCTTCAGAGAAGGAAGTTAGCGGGAACCTTACCATAGAGGTTGACAAGTGTCCTGTGTTCGACATACATGATTTTGGTGTAAAAGCCTATCGTCGTATTCTGTACTCACAATTGAGTACTAGTAATTACTGCTATGGACATAATTATTTCCAGGAGTTGATATAGATGGATATGCTCTTTCGATTTGTAGAGGAAACCTCGAAGAACTCGAAATAGATCATTGGTACGTCTTCTCCACTTTAGGTGACATTTACTTAGGATAAGTGACAATCTAAGCGTGGGCAAGGCATACAGCTTTACAGCTCTATTACTAGCTTCTTTAGCGGTTGTCTGATTCAAGGGGAAATGTAACCAAAGAGCAAAATTAGGTCTCAGAAGCGTGAGCTCTGATAACTCAACGGGTATTTTTGCATACCAGCATAGGCCGTATCCCAGAAAATATGGCGCATTCCAGATTCATGCGCTATTTTTCAATGATGAGGGAGTGTTCAAAGGTAAATTAACGGCTTGAGACACCCAACGCAGCTGCCCACTTATCCTCTACCATATAAGAAAATAAATGATACTGAATCAGAACATATACTTTACAGCTGTGACCTGATCAAAGCTGATGTACTCCAAATACCAGATGCTCTACATGGTCACTTTGACATCGTGATTATGAACCCTCCATTTGGAACTAAGAAGAACGAAGGTAATCATTTTTCATACTGGTCAACGCTATGGCACTCGAACGCCAGGCTTTTTCTCAATAAGTTGTTTTTTGTCCCAATAAACGGAAGGAAGTAACGCATTAACTACAGACCAGGGCACGCCATCGCGTTGTGATCATTTCCCGAAAAATACCTCCCCCCTAATTCTATCCTCAAATACGACCCCCTCCCCATGCTACCTACCACTTTCCTAGATTTCCCAACCTGCCATTACCATTTTTTCACGAAGTATTTCAGTTTTCAGCAGAAAAAGAGAAGAACTTTCCGTCGGGGGAGAAGACGAAAATTCCTCAGACTTTCCCTAACCTCCTACCAGTTTTTCCGAATTTCCCTCTGGTTTTTCCCCAAAATTTTGCTGTCAAGCGGGGGGGGGAAGCCGTCAGGCGTTAACTGTCATTTTTCAACTATCGTAAAAGTAGTTATCGATCTTTAGCAGTCCCTCTCTCAACCAACGACTAATTGACAACTCTCCTCCCCCCTCCTGTATAATGATTTACGTAAAAACACGAAGGGTAGCCGTGTAATTGCACACCACTGCCGACTACCGTAATCCCACGACTGTTTTCATCCGCTCATAGGGCACAGTGAATGTACTCTACGCTGGCACTACGCGAGTATCTAAGCAAGTTTCTTTGACATTATCGTTTCACAATTCAAATTCAATCGTTTCGTTTTTTTTCAAAGACACTTTTGTGCTTCCTCTGCCTTTGTATACTGTCGGCACGGCCCTCCCCGTTCAGCTGCAAAAAACGCAATCCTTGGCCCCATTTACCCTTTTTTAGTTTTCCAAGTTGAGGTCGCATTGCCACACACATGCACCCAGAAAGGGTGCTGTGTTTTCTCGTCGGGTTTCCATTACTGCGCTAGCTCGCATCGGCCGACGCGCACGCCCTAGAGTCGACGCTACATGCGCTGGAATCGGAACAAGCATATGTAGCCGTCGCTGGTGGCGCATGCGTCAGCTGCGTTCATACTTTGCGGCAGCGTCCACCACCGTTTCGAGCGAGCACCAAAGGCGAGGAAGGTGTAGATTAGTGAATGCCAGCGTCGTTCAGCGTCGCTGGTCGACACTGCCGCAAAAGTATGAACACAGCTTCAGTGGTCATGTAACTATACAATTGATTTCATGTCAGAGTCATACTTCCTCTGGAGACTGAAGTTTGCAGCAAATTTGGTAACTTAGGGGATTTTGCCACTGGCGCCTATGGCGCAGACACCAGGATATCTCAGGCAGGGGGCACGCCATTGCGTTGTGATCATTTCCTGAAAAATACGACCCCCCTAATTCCATCTTCAAGTACGACCCCCCTCCCCACGTTACCTCTTCCCTAGATTTTTCCAACCTCCTACCACTTTGTCTATTTTTTCCCAAAAAGTTTCTGGTTTTTTTACAAATTTTGCTGTCGAGCGGGGGGGGGGGTCGCAGTACCTACGTACGTCCCAAGCACGATCCAAAGCACTCGCGCTGGTGTAGCATACTGACAATACGTACGAGGAAGGGGCGATGATAGGAGCTACGATCACCGCCCACAAGGGCCCCATAAATTTATAAACAAACAAAGCAGGACCACGACTGACGATTAAAACAGATTAAAGTACAGTTCCCGGACATTCTGATGTGCTAGCATAGCATTTGCTTGCCAATGGAAGCCCTAATCTAGAAGTTTACACCTTTCAAACACCGTTGACAAGTCCCACGCAAGGCGCATTGATAGTAGATGGTAATTGGCACCCAATGGCCTATTACCTGATATGCTTGTCGAAAACATGTGTTTCAGAAGCATACCAAAGTCTTCGAGCCAACTGGAGGTTTCCTGGCCTCGGAGGGGTTGATTCTTTCGGTGTGTGAGCGGCATTAACAAAATGATCACAACGGGGAATTTTTTCGAATAATAGGTCTAGGAAGGAAATTAAAACCTTGCTGGAAAGTAGAAATCTTCAAGCTTCCGGCACAGTTCTTTTTTTACGAAAGGTCGTGTATGAAGCTTGCCATGGACGTCCAAAGCGTAGCGACTCGCGGTTCGCAAAAATGATCACAGATGGGTCACAAAGATGATCACAACGGGGAAAATCTCTGGAATCGGAACGTTTTTGAAATCGCTCAATTCAGATGATAAGAGCCAACCTAGCTCTACCAATTCCCACTTACCCCTCTCCGATAGCTTCCACTTCTTCAACGAAGGTATGGAAGTGTTCAAATGAGGGGTAACTTTTTGTCACGTGTTTGGCTTGAAATTGGCTCCAAACCGTGAAATAGCGCGCACCAATGCGCTTGTATGAGCGC